TGGGGCCTCCGAAGGGCGTCTGCGACCTGAGCAGAGGACAGCAGGCGAGGGAAGGGGGGGGCCAGGGGCTCCGGCCGCCCCGGGCCTGTAGGGAGACCCCGGCCGGGACACTTCGCAGCCCCCTCTGCCCGTCACTCTCCAAAGGCGGGTGGGGGGCGAGAGGAGGGTCAGGACCCCGAGGCTGGAGGAGGCAGGCGGTCGGCCCATCGGGGGGCGGGAGGGGGTCCCTGGTGGCTCAGATCTCAGCCTCCCGGTGGCATTGCCCTCCAGGCCGCCGCCTGGCTGCCTGCCACCTCCTGGTGAGATCGCACAGGAGGGACTTGGTGGCCCCCGGGATCGGCCTCGGCCACGGAACGGGGTCTGGGACAGAGGAGCAGCCGGAACCCTGACCAGCGAGCGCATGGAGTGCAGAGGCTCCGTCCCCGGGGAGGGGGCTTCGGGGGGGAGAGTCCTGGTCAGAGGCCGCCCTGAGGGCTGAGGGGCGGCCGCAGGTGCGCACGTGGCATGTGGGCCCACGGAACCTTCTGGAGTCTGGGTCCTTCCTTAACCATCGTCCCCGAGTGTGAGCTCTGGTCCCGTCTGCCTGCGCCCTCCCGGGCCCTCCCCCTCCCTTACACCCTCCTCCCGAGGTGCAGGGAGGCCTCCAGGACCACCTCCTCCTCCCCCGCCCCCCGGCCCGGCCCCCCCTGGGGAGGGAGCGTGGGCAGCCGGCCTCGTCCCTGGGACATCAGCCCCGGGGCTCCCGCTCCCCCAGACGGCCTGTCCGGCCCCTCCCGCCGGCTCCCCCACCCGCCCCTGGTCAGCAGGCGCTGTGATACCGGGAGGGGCCGGCAGGCAGCAGGCCGCTCTGAGCTGAATGTTTTTATGCCACTCAGCGTGGCCTCCGCCCCGAGGGAGGGCTGTGTGCTGGGGGTCACGTGACGTCATGCGTGTCCCGTGTGGCTGTGGGGGACACGCACTCTGTATGGCGCCTGCGCACGCAGTATTTATGAGCAGCAAATAAACGTGTTTCCATGGACTGGCTCTGCGCCTGGGAGACGTCTGTGGGCCTCACGTGTCGTGTCCCCCCCCCCTTTCCTGCCACTGCCTCTGCCCGGGACACGGCCACCGAGGGAGTCAGGCCGACTGAGGCCCCCAGAGCCCCGGGCCAGGCCCCCGCTGGAGACGGACCCTCAGGCTGTGACTGGCCAACGCGGGGTGCCCAGGCCAGTGGGACCCGCCCAGCACAGCCTGCCGCTCTCTGCCCAGCCCTGCCTCCCGCCTGGGGGCCCCCGTCCTCAGCACAGGCCCCGGCTGCCCCCCAGTGGCTTGTGGCCCAAACAGCAGGACAGACGCCGGCTCAGGGCCTCCCTCCCCGCCTCAGGAGCCTGGGCCTCTCCCCTCTGAGCCCCAGACTCCCCCACCCCCGCTGGGCCCCCCGCCCGGCCAGGCCAACACAACCAGAGACGCCCCACCCCCAGGGTTCTCTCAGCTCATCTCTTTAATGAGGAGACTCAGCTCATTACAAAATAACGACTGGACGAGATCAGACCAGAACACGGGGCCACACAAGGGGTGGGGGCGTCGCCAGGCAGGTGGGGGCGGGGGGAGGGGGGACAGGCTGCACGCGTGTTCTGAGACGAGGAAGGAGGTCCTGGTGGGGCCGGGGCCCCGTCTGCCCCACCTGCCTTCCACGTGGGCCTCGGCCAGACCTCCAGCAGCTCCTGAGAGCTGTGTGCCCTGCCCGGCCCGGAGCTCGGAGCTCCCCTGCACCGCCCAGACCCGCCCTCCACTCTCCGAGGGGCCTGCAGCCTCAGGTGCCCTCAGTCCGACCGCAGGAGGGGCGGGTCCCCCGCACGGGTCCCCCAGACCCAACCCCACGTGGGAAGGGAGCACGTGACCAGCCGGGCGTCTGGACGGGCCCCAGTGGGGTGCCCAGCATGGCCTGGCTGCCTCGGGTGCAGAAGGGGGGCCCCGGACACCCCGTCCTCGCACACGCTGAGCGGGGGGAGCAGGGCAGCCCTTCGTGGTGGGGGGGCCCCTGTATGGCTTGTCAGTTAGTTCACACACTGGGTGGGGGACGCCACACACACAGACACCAGACAGCGGGCTGGACACAGCACGGCCAGGGGTCAGCCCTGCGGACGGGGGCCCCGGGGGCGGGGGTGGGAGGACACAGACGTCTCGGACGCGGACTCGGGCAGGGCCGCGCTCGCTGGGCCATGCGCTGTGGGCAGGAAGACATGCATGTGGGTCGAGGCTCCGTCCGGCGTCTGCGGGGGACGGGGACGTTACAGCTATCCCACGGGGGCGGGGGTGGGGGCCGGCTCAAATGGCTTCAGGAGGCCCTGGTTTTGTCGTTGCTTAAAAAATAAAGTCTATTCACGTGTCTCCAAGGCTCAGCGTCTCCGTATTGCTGCTCAGAACCCCTGGGAGGAGACGCCCTCGGGGGGCCGGTCTCCCCGGGACCAGGGGCCCCCTGGGACACGGGACACACAGCACGGCCAGACGGGCGTGAATGTTGGGGACACACAGCCAAGGGCTCTCGGGGCACCTGCACGTCAGTCTTCACTGCTCACGTCACACTCGGGTGCCACCGGGCTCCCTGTTTGCCAACCCGGCAGCCATGTCGGCTCCGGGCCCCAAGCTCAGGCCTTGGGACCCATCCTGCCTGCCCTTCCCCAGGTGGGCAGGGAAGCGGGAGAGGGTGGGGAAGGGGTGAGGGGAAGGGAAGGGGGAGGGAGGGGAGGTAGGCGAGGAGGGGGAAGAAGGAGGGAAGGGGGAGGGGGAGAGGGCGGGGAAGGGGTGAGGGGAGGGGAGGGGAGGGAAGAGGAGGGGTAGGTGAGGGAGGTGAGGGGGGAGAGGGGCAGGGAAGGGGAAGGGGAGGTAGGCGAGGAGGGGGAAGGGGGAGGAGGAGAGGGCGGGGAAGGGGTGAGGAAAGGGGAGGGGAGGTAGGCGAGGAGGGGGGTGGGGGAGGGAAGGGGGAGAGGAGGTAGGCAAGGAGGGGTGTGGGGGAGGGAAGGGAAGAGGAGGGGGAGGGGAGGTAGGCAAGGAGGGGGAGGAGGAAGGAGGAGGGGAGGGAGGGGGAGGGGGAGGGAAGAGGTGGGGGAGGGAAGAGGTGGGGGAGGGGAGGGGGGAGAGGGGCAGGGGAGGGGAAGATTGAGGGAGAGTCAGTGATGAGGTTTGTGGGACACGGGGGGTGGGTGAGGGCGTGGGGCGGGGGGATACACCCTGGGAAGCACCAAAGTCCCACTGCTCTGGAGCGGGGGCGGAGCCCGGCGACCTCTGACCCCCGCCTTTGCGGGCACCCCCTGCCCTCCACGCTCCTCACTCTTGTCGGGGTCCCCCGCCTCCCCATGAGAACACACGTGTATACACACACACACACACACACACACGTGTGCACACACGGGGATCCGGTAACGAATGACTTCCATGCCCCACGGCCACGGGGAGGGAGGGCTCTGAGGCGGGGAGGCTGGCGGCTCCCCTGTTTCGGGGGGAGGGTCCCCGCACCCCCTCTCCAGCTGAGGGCGGCAAAGACCAAGCCCCTCCTCCTTGTGGTAACACGGAGACGCCTGCACCTGTGTCTGCTCTCCAACACCCGCACCTGTCCCGGGCGCCGAGGAAGCCGAGGGGAGGGGCAGGGGGACGGGGGTCTGGGGAGGGGAGTTCACGGACATGGGGTGCTGGGGGCGGCCTGTGGGCGCAGGGCTGGGGGGCGCACGGCGGGGGGACATGGCCAGGGGCTGCCCCACGCGCCCGGGCTGGGGTCTGGAAGGGGACTCAGTGCCGAGGTGAACATATATATGGCTTTTTATCAACGCTGGGGGCACGGGGAGACGGGGCGGGGACGGGGGCACGGGGAGCAGCCCCCACGGCCTCCACCCCTGTCTGGAGGGGCCCTGCCTCCCGGAATTCGGAGGCGCCTCCCTGAGGAGGGACGCGGGGGCCAGGGGCCAGGGGGGCCGAGGGGGGGGGGAGCCGGGGACCCTCTGTGCCCTGTCTGCCTCGTCCTGGGACTCGGCTGTCTGCCCTCCGTCCCGTCCCCCCCTCCCCCCCCACAGCCGCCCCGGCCTCACCTGGACCTCAGGGACCGAACCAGCAAAGCTCCCTCTGGCCCCTCACCGGCGCCGGCTCTGCCGACAGGTTGCTCCACTTGGTTTAAGAGAGAACAAGCCAAAGCATGATGGGAAATGAGGGCGTGGACTGTGGGGTGGCTGCTCCCCCAGGTGGGGGGAAGGGGGCATAGGAGGGGCGCTTGGTCTCGGGTCCTGGGCCCCTGGGCCTCTGTGGGGTGAGATGAGGTCCTGGGACTGACGGTCCCTCTCGGCGGCCGATCCACCGGCCATTGGCTCAGGTCCCAGAAGCCCCCCTGGGGCCGTGCTAAGCACAGGACGTCCACGATGCCAGGGCGTGGTCCGGGCTCCGGACAAAGACGGTCGCCCAGGAGGAGGGGGGGAGCTGCCGGCAGCCGGGCTGGGCCCGAGCCTTCTCCTGTTACCGCCCACGCAGACCGAGGACCTGCCATCACGTCAGGGCCCCCTCCTGCAGGACTCCCTGTCCATGGCTCATTCCAGGATGTGGAGGTGCTCACACACATGCACACAGGTGCACAATGCCCTCTCACACAGGCACACACACGTGTACACAATGCCCTCACACGTGTGTACACAATGCCCTCACACACACACGTGCACACAATGCACTCACACACGTGTGCACAATGCACTCACACACGTGCACACAATGCACTCACGTGTGCACAATGCCCTCTAACACACGTGTGTATACAACGCGCTCACACACATGCATGTATACATGTCCATGTGCACACGCGTGGACATGTGTGCACGCATACACATGGGTCGCTGGCCACAGTGCCGCCTGCCCTCCCTGGAAACAGGAAGTGCCGTCCGTCGAGTGGGTCCAGAACACACAAAAAACGGGAGGCGTCTCGCTTCCTGCCACGAGGCCCGCCCTCCCGGAGGCCCAGGCGGGCGGGCGGGCGGGCGGGCGGGCGAGGCTGGGACGGAGGACCCCGCTGGGACCGCGATGGCGATGATGGCGATGGCGATGACGGGCATGCAGCGGGCGGCTCCAGGCGGGGAGGGACGCTCCGGGGCCGCCCCCGGGGAGCCGGTCTTCGAACGGACGGAGAGGGAGGGGGACGAGGACGCGGCCGGGCACACGGAGGATCCTCGAGGGCGTCACTGAGGTATGGAGGGCTCCGGCCGTCGGCCCGAGCCGGCCGGCCGTGCGGTCTCGGCAGCGGCCGCGGCTCCTACTTGTTCTTGCCCAGGAGAGCGTCCACCTCCTCCTCGGGCTTCAGCGAGTGCCACTGGGCGATGGGCCGGCGCGGGTTGGCCAGCATGTCGGACCAGTGCCGCAGCTCCGTGCCCGTGGCGTTGCTGCCCACGAAGATCTTGCCGATGGCCTCGTTCTTGCCCAGCTTGTCGTAGTCCAGCACCGTGATCACCACGTGGACTTTCTGCCGGACACGGGGGCGAGGGGTCAGCCCAGACCGCCGCCCGCCGGCCCTCCCGCCATGAGGCCCCGCCCCGAGGCCCCGCACCTGGATCTGCTCGAAGGGGATCTCGAAGCTGAAGGACTCGTTGAAGTAGGGGTTCAGCGTCTTCTTCTTCACCGTTGTCTTCTTCTTCTTGAGCCTCTTGCCGTTCTGCATCAGGTGGATCTTCACGTAGGGGTCTGCGCAGGGAGAACCCGGGGTCCCTCAGTGCCTCTCAGGGGGGAAAAGGGGACCCCCCAGTGCCCCCAGGGCTTCTCCCGGGGGAGAGGGAATCCCCAGTGCCCCCAGGGCCTCCCTCGGGGGAGAGGGAATCCCCAGGTGCCCCCAGGGCCTCCCACAGGCCCAGCACCCCCGAGAGACCAGGCTCCAGGCACCCAAGGCCCTGCAGGAGGCGGGAGGCTGCAGGGTGACTGGGTAACGTGGTCCCGGGCTGCAGAGAGGGAGGCCACGTGAGGTCCACAGGCCCCTGCCGTCCCGACCCCGGGCCATCCTCCTGACCTGGCCGGTGGGACGCCAAAGCCCACAGCGGGGACGTGGCCAAGGTCACAGCCTGCCCCTCGGGAGGCAGAGCGCCCGCCTGTGCCGGGGCAGGGCCCACCCAGTCCCCCACAGCCCCCTCCCCAAACCCCTCCGCCCCACCCACCACACCCTGCGCTTCCGGGGGGGGGGGGGGGGGGGGGAGAATCCTAAACCTCGGGCTCAAAGGAGAGCCCGAAGGCATCCCTGAGCCAGAAAGGGGGTCTTCGGAGAAAGGGGGGCTCTGGGAGCCCCACACCCAGCTCTGGGGAGCCCGGTCCTGGGTCCTGCCCTCGGCGTGGGCGTGGGGGTGAGAGGACTCACAGCCCTCAGAGCCAACGGCCCCAGGCGGGAGGCTTGCTGCTGCCACCCAGTGGCGGCCAGGCGCGCTGCACCTACCCGAGAGGCCGCCCACGTCCATCTTCTTCAGGTTCTTGGCCTCCAGGATGCAGACGGTGAGCTTGCCGGCCGTGGGCACGTAGCGCAGGGACGTGCAGATGTCGCCCAGCTTCTCCGGCTGCGCAGGGAGAGGGGACGGGGTCAGCTCGGCCACCCCGGGCCTCCGGCACGGCCCCCTTCCCACCCCAGCCCCGCAGCTGGGAGGCCCCGGCAGGTGGCTCAGCGTCAGATCCTCCCCCGGGGGGAGGGAGAATGAGCAGCAGCCGGGTGTGGAGGACCGGCTGCAGGCAGGTGTGGGCGGGTGGTGCCTGGGGGGCGGGAGGACATGGTACCTCCTGCTCCCCCAGGCCGAAGCGAGGTGCACGGACCCAGGGCCCTGGAGGCAGCAGCACCTGGGAACCGTCCCCCCAGCTCTCCGCCCAGCACCTCCTCGCTGGACCCCAGCCCCATCCCTGGTCCCCCCCCCCCCCCGGCGCTGGGGCCCGTCCGCGCGCTCACCTCCTCCTTCTCGCCGCCCTGCAGGTCTCTCCACTCCTCGATGGGCTGGCCCAGGTCCACCGTGTTCATGGGCACCTTCACCTCCCCGATGATGTCATGCTTGGAGAAGCGGTCGAAGTCGTAGATGGCCATCACCAGGGTCTTGCCCCCCAGCTCCTGGTACGGCACCTGTGGGGCACAGGCAGGGTCAGAGCAGGTCGGGGCGGCACACGCATGCGCCCTGGGCCCGGCGTTTTCCCCTCTCGATGCCCCTGGGACTCCCGGTGAGTCTGGGGAGACGGAGGGAAGACCCGGGCTCTGGGGGACCAGTGGGGTGGGGAGAGCCCCGAGCCAGCCGCCCTCGTTCCAGACGGAGTTGGTGCCATGACCTCAGCCTCTGCACAGAGCCAGGAGAGGCGAGTGGGAGGCATGTGGGCCTGGGGTCCGGAGGGAGCCCATTGCCCGCCCTCCAGCCCTCGTCCGTCACCTTGAAGGTGAAGGTCTCGTTGAAGGCGGGGTTCAGCGTCTTGCGGTGAACTTTGGTCTCGTATTTCTTCTTCTTGTCTGGGAGGAGGAAGACCTTGACGTAAGGGTCTGAGGTGCCTCCCATGTCCAGGGCGGGCAGCTCTGCGGCCTGCAGCACGCCGACGGTCAGCTGTGGAGACAGGGGGCGCGCAGAGTCTCAGGACCGCCCCTCCCCTTCCCTGCTCGGCCTGAGCAGCACCGGCAGCAGCCGTCCCAGCGGCTGGGGGTCCGGGGGCCACGCCATGGCAAGAGGAGGGCCATGCCAGCTCCGTCCCCAAGAACTCAGAACATGCCGAGACTGGTTTGGCTCAGTGGATAGAGCTTCGGCCTGCGGACTTAAAGGTCCCAGGTTCGATTCCAGTCAAGGGCATGTGCCATGGTTGCGGACACATCCCCAGTAGGGGGTGTGCAGGAGGCAGCTGATGGGTGATTCTCTGTCGTTGATGTTTCTAACTCTCTATCCCTCTCCCTTCCTCTCTGTAAAAAATCAATAAAATATATTTTTTTTAAAAAAAAAGAAAGAAAAAGAAAGAACTTGGAACACACAGGGGTCACCGGAGTTCAGAGGACACCGACTGGCCCCAGATTGGGGGTGGGGGTTAATGGAGAGTCGAGCCAGGGTCCTTCCCAGCCGGCCCCTCCTCGGAGAGGGCGGTTCTGCCCCCTGCCGGCCCCCTCCAGCCGCCCACCTGGTTGGCCTGGAAGTCGTAGTCCAGGGAGAACTGCAGCTTGCCCAGGTTCTCGGGCTCCTTCTCCTCCTCGCCCTCCCCTTCCCCCTCAGTGAGGCCGGTCTCTGCATCGTCATCGTCCTGTGGGGGCTGCGGAGAGAGGGGCGGGGTCAGGGGAGGACAGAGGGGCCCGGCCCAGCACAGGGGTCATAGGGAGAGGGCCCTCCGTGCAGACCGGCTCAGAGTCCAGGGAGAGAGAGGGAGGGGAACCGTGGGGGCGGGCAGTCCCCCGGGACCCTCCCCCGTGCCTCTCTCCTGCAGGACCCAGCCCTCCCCACCCCACCCCCATACTTCCCCCAGCTCAGGCCCCTGGGCAAGACGTACCGGGCAGGCGAGCAGTCCCGGTGAGCAGGGGCGGGCGAGTCCACAGAGGTGGGAAGAGAAGGGGAATGTCGTCAAGAGAAAAATTCTGCAGCCCAGACCGGTCCTGGGCGGGGGGGCGGGGGGGATCCACAGCCACGGAGGTGGCCTCCCAGGTGGGGGACCTGGTTGGACTGTGTCTGGGGCGTTCTTGGAGCCCCCGTGCTCCCCACGGCAGGCCCCTTCCCCCCACAGGCATGTGCACACATAATACACACATGTGCACACATGCATGCATGTACAGAGTACAGATATGTATGTGTGCACACAAACACACAGAGGTGTTTGCTTCCTGGCTGGTTCTGAGGTCAGGCCCTTCCTCCACTGTCAGCCCCAGGGGCTGGGGGAGCTCTCTGGGGCCTCTGCAAACTCCGAAGGGGAAACCTGGGTGTGTGACGGACCTGCCAGCTGACCGGCCCCAAAGGACAGGGCGAATGATGACGGGATTAGAGACAGACTGCATTTGGCCTCGTCCAGTCCCAGCCCCACCCCCAGCTAGAGGCCACAGTTCACTCCCGGGATGGTCTCTCAGATGGAAGGTCTCCCTCTGACAGTTTGCCCCAACAGCCTCTCCTGGGATCAGTACGGGTCCCGCACATCAGTCCCCCTCCCACGAGCACGTTGGATGCAGACGTAGCGGGCGGGGACCGTGCACAGTTGGGGAGGGGGGGGAACCCGGTGGCTGCAGAGCCCAGCAGCCCTCCTGGGGCCTCAGGGCAGGAGTGCCCTCCCGTGGCCCAACCTGTCCTACCTGCCCGCCTTTCATGTCCTTCATGCTCATGGCGTTCTTGGCGCCCTTGCCCTTCTCCTTCTTGTTCTTCTTCTTCCGGCAGCAGCACTTCTTGCAGATGCAGAAGCAGCAGGTGAGGAGCAGGAGGCCAGCCACCACGGTGATGGCTATCAGCGCCCAGGGCGGCACTGCCCGCGGGAGAGCCAGGCGTCAGCGCCAGGGCGGCCCCCTGCCCGCCCCACACGGTCCCACCGCACACGCGCGCGCGGCCTTCAGGGACGTGGCCTGTGCTTCGCCTGCCGTCTCACGGGGACCTGGCTCGTGGCCCCATGGGCCCGCCCCCTAACGGGGAAACGGGCTGAACACACAGGGAGGTGAGCTGGGCTCTGCGAGCGCTGACCAGTCTGACCCACGGAGAACTGGTTGGATTGCAGAGGGTGGGGGTGGCCCTTGGACAGGTGGGAAGAGCCGGGATGATCCCACGGAGTGCTTAAGCGGGGATGCTGTCCACGGCCCGGACCCACCTGGCTGCTGTCCGCGGTGCTGACCCACCTGGCCGCTGTCCGAGGTCCTGACCACCTGACTGCTGTCCGTGGTGCTGACCGCTGTCCACTGTGCTTACTTACCTGACCGCTGGCCGCGGTTCTGATCCACCTGACTACTGTCCGAGGTCCTGACCACCCCTGACCACTGTCTGCGGTCCTGCCCACCTGGCTGCTGTCCGCGGTGCTGACCACCTGATTGCTGTCCGTGGTCCTGACCAACCTGGTTTGCTGTCCGCGGTGTGACCACCATGTACTAGTAAGCTGGTGGTGGGGCTGAGTGTGGCCTCTGTCTCCCACACAGACTTAACCGGGAATTCAGAAGGCAGGGGCACCATAAGGTACTAAAACGTCCATCACTGCCCGAGCGGTGTGGCTCAATGGTTGAGCATCGATCCATGAACCAGGAGGTTACTGGTTTGATTCCCAGTCAGGACACATGCCCGAGATACAGGCTTGATCCCCTGTGTGGGGCATGCAGGAGGCAGCAATCCATGATGTTTCTCTCTCTCTTTTCCTCTCCCTTCCTCTCTGACATCAATATTTTAAAATATACATTTTTTTTATATTTTGGTTTTATCTTTTGACAGTTCTCTAAATTGTATAAAGACTTTATTTTCCCCTGGGAGGTTGGGCCCTGCTCCCTTCAGTAAGCCAGCCCACACACCCCCATTATTGACAGGGCACCCCAATTATACAGCCTAAACCCGGGTTTGGGAAAGAACCCAGCCAACTGTGCCCCTGGGTCCCCCCACACCCAGCCTCGGGGACACTCACGGGGGATCCTGCTCATCTCGTTGAAGAACTTGTCCTTCAGCTTGGTAAACATGTCTTCCTTGCTCCCCTCGGCACCCCCACTCTCGGTGGAGTTGCCCACGGGCCCAGCAGGCATGGCGGGCATGGCGGCCGTGGTGGTGGCCGCCGGAGCTGCCTCCGGCTGCTGGTTCTTCTTGAAGATGTTCCACATGGTGGCTGCGGGGGTGGCTGTGGGTGGGAGAGGAGGGCCGGGTGAGCACCCAAAGGTCCCTCCCAGTCCTATGGTCAAGCACCAGGGCTCCATCCCCTCCCAGAACTGCGTCCTCCCTGGTAACCCGGAGCCTCACACCTGCTGCTCTCTGGACCTGAGACACTCTCCCCGCAGACCCCACGGGCTCACCTCAGCTCCCTGAGGTCCCCTGGGACTGTCCGCCCCTCCTTCGCTGCACTTGTCACCGACAGGCTGTGTTTCAGTGGTTCTCTGCCCTTCACTGGGATTTAAGAACCGTGACTGCCGACCTTTGACAGCACGTAGTAGGTGCACAGGGACATAGGTGAGGAACGGGAGGGGTCAGAGTTCTGGTCTGTTTGACGCTGTGCCCTCTGACCTCTTAGCCCTTGCCCAGTCCCAAGCAATGGTGGTATCAGCAACTTAGGTGTTTAAAAAACAAAAACAAAAAAAACACTACAAGTATCAGCTCAGCTGGTGGGTAGAGCTTCAGCCTGTGGACTAAAGGGTTCTAGGTTCGATTCTGGTTAAGGGCATGTACCCTGGTTGGGGTACGTGTTGGTGGCAACCAACCAATGGACCTTTATCACATCCAGATTTCTCTCCCCTTCCTTCCACTCTCTCTCTCTCTCAAACTCAATAGAACAATATCCTCGGGTGAGGATTGACAGCGACAACAACCGAAGCGTCCTATTCCCTCTTTGGACATGTCTAAGGGGTAGTCCACCCGTACATGCTCCCCAGAAGCGAAGGAAACAAGTCAAAGAGGCTGATGACTTCACGTCAGTTCTCAAGCCTCCTGTGGGGAAGAGGCCCCGAGAGGTGAAGGGACTGGTCCGAGGCCGCACAGCGCATGCTCCTGCCCCACAGCACAGCCGCCTCCACCCCCGGTGGAGCGCCTACACGGTGCAGGGTGCGGGCATCTGAGCAGGAACCCAGCAGGAACAGCGAAGTCCCCGGGGCTGGGGAGCTGCCCGGCCGCCCTCGCTGCTCAAGCTGCACTCCTGGGGAGGGGAGGGGAGGTAGCGGCTGGGAGAGCTGAGGATGATAAATGAGCGTGGGCTCCGGGGGCCCCGAGCACAATGAGCGCCTCTGTCTGCTCAGAACTGCCGGAGCGGGAAAGCATGAGACAGGCCATTAGGCAGAGATGCCACGGGGGCTGGGCCCGGGCCCGTGGAGGCACCCGCTCGCTGGCCTGCAAGTCTGGGGAGGGTGGCAGGGCCGGGTGAGGCGGAAGATGCGTGCGGTCCTGGCACACGTACCTCAGAGCGCTAGTGAGCGGCCACGGGAACCAGCCACGTGAGGCCTGGGATGGGTAGGCGGGGTAACCACCTCTCTGACTGACCAACTACAGTGACAGGTCTGCAGGGATAGCATGGGGGCGATGTGCACCAGACCCCTAGGGCCACGCCTCCTGGGACCACACCCCTGAGACCACGCCTCCCCAAGACTAGGCCTCCTGGTGGCCACGCCTCCCTAGACCACGCCTCCTGGTGGCCACGCCTCCTCAAGACCACACTTCCACAGGACCACGCCTCCCTGGGGCCACGCCTCCCCAGGACTAGGCTTCCTGTTGGCCACGCCTCCCCGGGACCACGCCTCCTAGGATCACGTCCCCCAAGGCCACACCTCCCCAGGACCCTGCTAACAGCACGCAGGAACATCCCTTCACTCCAAACACTCGGCGGTGCTCAGAGCCCGGCTGTCGTCTTGGGTGGGAACTCCACCATCCACACCTGGCGGGTGGGCTGCCAGGGAGCAAGACTAGAGGCGGGGATGGGACACCCAGACCCACACTCACCACCACCTGTAACCCCCAACCAACATCAGCCGGCTAGGACACCGGGACCCTGCTCCCGCAGACTGTCCCCCTCGGGCCTGGCCCCGGACAATGCGGATAACAAGGAGCTGAGTGGACACAACCTCGTCATCTCCCTGACCTGCATCTGCAGACGCCGCCCGCGCCGCGCTAATGAGATGGAAATAGGTTAGCCAGCAAGACGCCTCTCGCAGGAGCGCGCACAGGCCGGCAAAGTTCAACCCTTACGGATGAATGTATGCCGTTCTTGTCCGGGCCGATGGGCCCTGGGAGACGGAGGATGCGGTTCTAACGGAGTCATTTCCGGGCACGTTTTGTTAACGAATTGCCCGTGTCTGCGAGCTCCCTGCGTGCAGGGGCCCGGGCGTCTTCCCAGGTGGGACAAGGCGGCCAGAAAGTCCTGCCTGTGTCTGCCTTCCGTCTCTCTTGCTCCCACAATGCACTTCCCTTCTCGGGCTTCTGAAGCTGAGCTCAGCAATCCCAGGCCCTCAGAGAGGCGACCGGGCAGAGGCCTGAGGCTCGGAGCAGAAGGCCAGGTACCGGCCTGGTCCCCTGGCTCAGCTACCCTGTGCACTTCTAAGTGAGGGTTCGCCCTCCTGCTCTGCAGGCCTGCAACCCTCAGCCCCCCAGGCCTGCTGTGGGGGTTTCCCTCTCTGAACCCAGGTTTCAGGAGCTGATCTTTTTAAACCACCATGTCCTGGGCTGTGTGAGCTCGGGAAGCTGCAGAAAATGCTGAGCAAGCACAGAAACAGGCCCCACAGCCACACGGCCCCGTCCCATCGCCCGAGTCTCCTGCTGAGTGGGGCACAGCTCTCCCATGCCCCATCCTGCTCTCTGTAGCCCCAGCAAGCCCTCTGGTGATGCTCCTCCTTGGCCAGCTCTGTGGGCACAGGGGTGAGGGGAGGACTGCAGCTTGCACCGAAAGAGACCCTGAGCGCTCTCCAATGGAGGGGAAGCTGCCGCGTCACTGTCCACCCGGCTGGCCGGGGAGCAGCCTGCTAGGGGCCCCCCACGGCCAGCTCAGGCCCCCCCCCCCTCGGCTGCCCCCATGCCTTCCCCTCAGACTCAGAACTCTGGGCTTTCACCGAGTCACCCTGCCCAGCAGCCTTTGGGGTCTCCCACTGAGACCAGTGCCAGGATGCTGGGGGAGCAGGCTGGGAAGGGCGAGGACCCCAAATGGGTGACTGAGTGGGGACCCATGAAAGCTTAGGGATCAGCGGGCCTTGGGCTGCCTGCTATAGGTTATGGAAAGTGGGGGGCTTGGGAGGGGGAGCCAAAACCGGTTTGGCTCAGTGGATAGAGCGTCGGCCTGCAGACTGAAAGGTCCCAGGTTCGAGTCTGGTCAAGGGCATGGACCTTGGTTGCGGGCACATTCCCGGTAGGGCGTGTGCAGGAGGCAGCTGGTCGATGATGTTTCTCTCTCATCGATGTTTCTAACTCTCTATCCCTCTCCCTTCCTCTCTGTGAAAAATCAATAAAATATATTTTTTTTAAAAAGAAAAAGAAAAGAAAGTGTGTGTAGGGGGAGGGGGAGGGGGCGTACCACTAGGACCTGGAGGTCTGCCCACCTGTCATGGGCCTGGGTGTGTGTGTGTGTGTGAGAGCTGTGAGTGAGTGTGAGGCAGGGATGGGCTGTGGGGGCTTGGCCCTGGTTGCATTCTAGGGGGTCTTGGGAAGCATTGTGGGGGCGCAGGCTATGAGGCTTGGCAGGGACAAGCCCATGGTCACTGCTCTGCCACCCGTGGACGCCTGCAGAGGGCAGCGAGGAGGACACGGCCTGGCCCTGCCCCTCCCAGACAGGGCAGCCCTGGGGGCAGAGCCTCCGCTCACTCCTCACTCGGAGGAGATGCCCATTACTGCCCGCGCCTCTGACAGGCTGTGGTCTCAGGAAGCAAAGTGGGTCAGGCACGTCCTGGGGGCACAATTACATCCCAGGAAGCAGCCAGCTTCCTCCTCCGACCACCTGGGGGCAGGAACAGGAAACGGGCGGGAAGGGGAGGTGAAAGGGGCGGGGGGGGGGGGGCAGCTGTGTCCTCAAAATGCCAACAGGCGGAAGGAGATGCGGGGAAATTCCAAACCGGAAAAATCCGGGCGTGGAATTCTACTGGGGCCCCACCTGGGAGCCGGGGAAGCTGACAGGTGAAGCCAGGCGGGCGGGCGGGTGCCTGATCTTTGGGGCAGGTCTGGCTGAGTGTCAAGGTCGCTGTTCCAACCCCTGGAGTCTCTATAAAGCTTCATCCATCTGCAAGCCACCCCATGCTCACCTGGCCTCCTCTGTCCACGCCCCAGGAACCCCCCACCCGGGCGGTCAGGCCTCACGCTGCCCAGACCCCTGGGAGCTCACCGTTCTCTCTGTAACACCCCAGCTCTTGCAGGACCCGCGAGGAGGTGCTGACAGGAAATACAAAATGGAGCCCCAGCCGGCGCGGCTCAGGGGTTGAGCATCGACCTATGAACCAGGAGGTCACGGTTCGATTCCGGGTCAGGGCACACTGACCCGGGTTGCGGGCTCCAACCCCAGCGTGGGGTGTACAAGAGGCAGCCGATTCATGATTCTCTCTCATCATTCATTTATCTCTCTCTCTCTCTCTCTTTCTTTCTCTCGGAAATCAATGCAAACACATTAAAAAAAAAAAAAAATAGAGACCAGACTTGAGAATTCCCCGAGCCCTATGGAAGAGCCACGAAAGCAAAACTAACCGGCTTATTTCACGAACAAAACCAACCCCTGGGCTAGTTCCTGTGCCTGCCTCTGACGGGCATGATAGGAGCTCAGTTCTCTTCCTGAGAATGAGGGGGTCACGGGGTGGGGGGCGGGGGGGGGGGGAGCCACCGGACAGGCAGGTGGCCGCGGCGCGCCCGACTGCACACCGTCCTGTAGAACACGCGGTTGCATCCTGCCGACCGAGGTGGCGCTCCTTGGCTGTTGCTGGATTTTTATTTTTTTTTAGTGGTGCTATTGATATTTTATTTTATTTTTTACATTTTATTGATTTTTTACAATCAATAAAATAGAGATAGGGATAGAGAGTTAGAAACATCGATGAGAGAGAAACATCCATCGGCTGCCTCCTGTACACCCCCCACTGGGGATGTGCCCACAACCAAGGTCCATGCCCTTGACCGGAATCGAACCCGGGACCCTTCAGTCCACAGGCCGACGCTCTATCCACTGAGCCACACCGGTTTCGGCTGTTGCTGGATTTTCCACGGGGGCGAGACGAAGGGGCTGGGGGCCTCGGGGAGCTGTCTGCGCCCAGATGGGGAAGAGTCCCCCGCTGGCCTCCTGATGGCAGGCTGGGGTGACCAGTGAGAAGGAGGATGGAGGATGCAGAGGGCTGTCTGCGGAACCCTCCCACCCTCTGACAGCGCAGAGGCTCCAGGTCGAGGCACCTGCTCAAGGTCACAGGGCGGATCCCGGGCGAGGCCGGGCTGACGGGCCTGGACGGCGGGGCCCATTCACACAGATGCTGTGCCCGGGACAGAATTGGGGGGTTCCAAGGACAATAGAGGGGTGGGGGCATGAGTGGGGGGGAGGTTAGGGGATTGGAATGGGGGGTTGAGGACAAATATGTGATACCTTAATCAATAAAAAAATTTTTTTTTAATAATAAAATATAAAATAAAATTTTTAAAAATAAATAAACAGGCTGTATGGGCTCTGGGTCACTGTCTCTCCATCAGAAGAGGGCAGCGGTTGCACCCTGCTTCAGCTTTTTATTTCTTAAAAAAAAAGAAGAAGAAGAAGAAGAAGTGAGGGATTCCTGGAGACCCCTGGCCCCACCCCCAGCCCGGGCCCAGCTCTCTTCCTGCTGCTCGGACCCCAGCCCAGCACCTCAGCCGCGGAGCAGCTGCGGGGAAGGACCCTGGAGGGTGTGGGTTTGACCCTCCATGTCCAGGTGAAGAGAGGAAAACAGACGGGGCCTAGAGTCCCGCTCACACCTCCCACCTGGACCAGACTCCTCCTACAGCACCCCGAGGATTCGAGGATTCCTCTCAGCTGAAGAGGCGGAGGCCTGCATCCCGCCTCAAGGGTCAGGCCTTCCTGGGGGAGGGTTGGGAGGTCCCGCAGCGGGAGCCATGGCTATGGGGGTGCAGCCCCCCCATTCTCACAGCCCCTCAGATCGCCCTTGCCAAGGCTCATGACCTTGGGAGGTCCTTGACGGGCCCCTTTGGCCCAGGAGTTCTCCCCAGGGAGGGGTGCCCCCTGCAGAGGAGGAAGGGGTGCCCCTGGGAGAGGGGAGAGGTGCCCCTGGGGAGGAGGGGGGTGACCCCTGGAGGATGCACAGGCCAGAAGGCAGCCATCCCTCCACCACTGCCCTTCTGAGAGTGGGGTGAGATGGCTGAGGGGCTCACAGCTCTGCCACCTTTGGGTGGGGGGAGAGGGGTGGGGAGCTACAGTATCCCCAAGGCCAGGGCACAGAAGGATGCTCCTGGACAGGCCACCCCCCACCCCCACCCCGCAGCTGGCCTCGGGTGGGTGGAAGGTGCTGGCAGTGGCAGGCCGGGCCAGCAGGTGTGGGGCTGAGACCTGTTTCCCACACCCTCCGTCCCAAACGCCCATTTTCCAGACCAAGAGACTGAGGCCCAGAGGGGTGCGTGTTTGTCCAAGGTCGCAGGCAAGGCCGGGTCCGAGTGGAAGCGTCCGGACTCCCCCTGGAACGCTGGGGTCGCACAGCTCCTGGGGCGCCCCGGGGGCTGGTTCCCCCAACCGCGCACAGGTCCCCAGCTCCTCCCCACGCCTCCTCCCTCCCTCTCCCCGAGGCGTCTCCATCGCGCGGGTTCAGAGTGGTGCAGCGGCTCCTCCAAGGTCACACAGCAAGCCGAGGGGAGGGAGCATGCGTCCTGCCCGCCCCGGGGCCCCTGGCGCCTCCCGCACCCTCACCCCGGCCACTCCCGGAGCCCCGACTCTCCCGGCACCCCCCTAGCCCCCTCCCCCTGGCACGCGGGCTCCTGCTCCCTCCAATTCCGCAGCAGCCGGGGCCGCAGGACAGAAAGTTTCAGGGGGAGGAAGGGGAGGACGGCGCCGCGCCCATCCCAGCCCCGGACGGCTGCCTGGCAGGGAGGGGGCGCGGGCTCCCGCGCGCCACCAGTGTCCCCGGTGCGTCCGGCTCTGGTGCGTCCGGCTCTGCGCAAAGGGGCTGGCGAGCCCCGCGCCTGAGCCTCCAGCCCCTCCTCACCGCGGGGGGGGGGGGGACGGGAGAGGGGTAGCGCCGGGCAGCCCCGCACCCCCTTCCCCGCCTCCCCGCGTCCTCAGCCCGGGCGCTGCAGCCTCCCGGAGCCCCGGGTGCCGGCTCCCCCCGCGCCCTCCCGCCCTCCCTCCCACGTCCCCGGAGAGCCAGCTGGAGCGCCCGGGGTGCCCGGGGCCCCTCAGGCCGCCCCCCGCGGACTGACCGGGCGAGTCCGACGCGCGTGGGTCTCCGGAGCCGGGTCCCCGCCGCTCGCTCCGCCCCGCAGAGTTTCCGCGGCGGAAAGTGCGGGCGTCCGGCCTGGAGACGCTGCGGTCCCGGTCCCGGGCGCACAGGCCCTCCGGGCGGGCGGCTGCGGCTGCGGCTGCGGCTGCGGCTCCGCCCGGGACCCAGGGCCGCCCTCCGGGGGGTCCCGCCGGCTCCTCTTAACCGGGGCGTCCCGCCGCACTGCGGGCCGAGCTCGCTCAGAGCGCGCGGAGGGCGGGGCGGCCGGGGTCTCCTCTCCCTGCGCGGCCCGCCGCTGCGCTCCCCCCGCCGGGCGCTCCCCCTCCACCCGTGCCCGGCTCTGCGCGCGCTCGCTCTGCGGTAAGAGCGGCCCCGCCGCCAATGGACAGGCTCCTCACAGCCGCTGAGCCCCACCAGGGCGATCCCGCCGCGGAGCCGCCCCCGCGCCCGAGCCCCTCAAACCAAGGGGATGGCGCGGGGCGGGGAGGACGCAGAGGGGTGTGAACCCACGCGCGCCCCTGGAGAAGTTTGGGGCGGCGGGCCGGCCTCGCGCCTCCGGAGCCCGCGGGGCAATGCTGGGGGTCCCCCCGCCCGGCTCGCGCGCCCCGGAACCGCCCCCCCCCTTGGCGCCCACCCGCTTGGGGAGCCTCTCGGGTGCGGGGACTGGCGGGGAGGGAGCCGATGCGCTTCAGGGGAGACGCAGGAGGGGCTCCCGAGTCGGGAGAGACGCGGGGAGAGGGAGGGGATGCGGATGGAGGCAGACAAAGGGCAGAATCTGGAGGGGCCGGGGAGGTGGGGTTCCGGGACCGCGGCGTCCCAGCCTCAGTCCGAGGAGGGCGCAGTCCAGCCCGGACTCCGCAGAGCCGAGAGGGCGAGACGGGGGCCCGGGGGCTGGGGCTGGGGGGAGTCGGGTGGCGGGTTATCGGGGCGCAGGGCCCGGGCCTGGTTCCGTTAGGACCCTCCCACAGGGGCCTGCGGAGGGACCCGGCCTCCCCGGCACAGGGGAGCAGGCATTGCTACTGGAGGCTGGGGGAGGGGGGCCCCCCTCTGCTTCCCCCTCTGCCCCCTCAGCAGCCGCCCGCTGAGCCGGCGGGACCCCAGCTCCGCGTGGCATTTCTGCGTGTCGGGCCGCCAGCCCCGGTCCCCTGGCCTCCCCAGCTCCCCCACCCCTCGCCCTGTTGGCTCCCCCCCACCCCACCCCTCTCCGCGGCACCCCTTCCTGCTCCCGCTCCTGCTCTGCGCACTCAGAGCCATGGATCAAGTTTGGGGTTCGACCGAGGAAGTGCCTGCTCCCGCCCCCCACATCTGGGATTTCCCACGCTCTCCCGGATCCCCCCCTTTGGCCGCCCTCTCCCTCCCCGCCCCCCCGTCCCGCCCCCAGGGCTCTGCGGCGCTGCGGCACCGGCCACGGGGCTGGCTCTGCGCTGAGCCTGAGTCCGGATGCGCGCAGCTCGCTCGTCACGGGCTCCGGGCGCGGAAACGCTGAGTCGGGGATTTTCCAGGCCGAGCGCGCCGCCCACACGCCGGCGGGGTCTGCGCGTCCGCGAGGGGGGCGTGGGGGGCCGGGGCTGGCTCCGGAGTCCCTCCCGCCTCCGCCCCCCTCCTCCCGCCCCCAGCCACTCAGATGGAAAAAGGGACCCAGGGCTCAAGGTCAGGGGTTCCCCACCCCTCCCCACCCCACGCCCGCGCTGCCACCTCCCTCTCGGGGCTGCGCCCCTTCCTCGCCCCCCTCCCCCAACAGATAAATGGTTCTCTTGTGAAATCCCTCAAAGTATCCTCTGCCCACAGGAGGGAGGGAAGGGTGGAAAGTTCAGGGGGTCCGGGTGAGACTTTGGAGTTTCCTGAGGCTGGGGGTCCCAGGACACGCCCCTGGGAATGACCGCGAGGCGGTGCGTGTTTGGGCGCAGGGGGCTGCAGAAAGGGGACCCCCATAGCTCCTTGTCCTGTGAGGGTGCAGACACCTGAGCTTGCCGCAGAGCTGCCTCCATAAAATGGGGTTCAGACCCACCCCACCCCCCGAGAGAGACATTCTCTTCTCGCCTGGGGCTGGCAGCCCCGGGGCAGTCCCAAAGGCAACTTGTGGGGGGGGGGGGCAGCATCGGAGGCCTCATCCCCACCCGGGCGGCCCATGCCCGGGCCTGGGAGGTGGCGGTCAGGACCCTGGACAGAGCCGCTCTCTGTCCAGCTGTGGTGGCCGCTGGGGCTGCCTTGCCGCCCGGGGACAGTCCCAGAGGGACCGGGACCGGGCAGCCAGCTCTGTCCAGCTGGACCGCCTGTGAGCTGGACCGTGCGGGTGGTTCCCCGTGTTCTTCCCTCTGCCCCTCACCCAGGAGAGCCTGGAGCTGGCCTTGGGGTCCTGGCCCCCCTGTCTGGCCTTCCTCTCGCCCCCAAACGCTGCAGCATCCTGGTCCAGGCAGCAGCTGAATGGAACCCTCACCACCCTGACAAGGTCCCCAGCCAGCACTGGGGGGCCCTGGAGGGGGAGGGAGGGGTGTGGGGACTCAGACCCTGGCTGTGGGTGCTGCTGGCCGCCATGGCCGCCTTCAACAGCGAATCTACAGACTCACTGGCCCATCTGCAGGAAGTCACCGCCCCCAGGCCTCACTCTCCACTTCCCAGCACCACCCCCGCACGCCCTCTGACCTCCGACATCCGACCTCCGGGTCTCTGTTCTAAGACCAGCCCCGCCTGCCCCCTCTTCTCCCCGGGCCTCAGGTTCCTCGTTAATAAAAAACCAAGGGATTGGACGGGACAGTTTCAGCTCCGAGTCTGTAAGCCGGAGAAGGGAGGTGGGTGGATGCAGAGGCTGCCTGGTCCCTTCTTGGAGAGAAAGAGGACATGCTGAGGCGTCTCATGGGGAAGGGAGGGGGCGGGACTGAGAAAAGTCCCCCCCCCCATAACTGGCAACCAGGGCGTGTGACAAAGGCCACAGACACAGCCGGGTTGGGGGACCCCATTGCACCCCCCGCCATCGCCCCCACCAGCTGTCACCCCTGCTGATGCCCAGTGCACAGAGGGGTTGGTGGGGGGGGGGGGAGCCATGACCCACTTCCCCTGCCTCCGGCCCTGGGTACAAGCCGGGCAGGGACGTGCAGAGCCCACACGGCTGCCAGCAGCTGCTCCCATCCCCGAGCCTCTGCAATGCGGAGTCGGACTCTGTGGTGGTGAGTTTTTTGTGTGTGTGGTTTTTTTTCCTAAAAGTCCTCCTTTCCCAGGGACCTGTGCAGCCAGCCACTGCCTCCGGGGGGAGCGGTGGCCTGGAGCTGGGGTGTCACCCTCCTTCTCAGGGGCTGGGCACCTCTCACCAACCCCTAACCCCCTCCCCTGCCTCAGGGTGCAGCCCCCCACCCTCTGATCCTAGCGGGACCTGGATGCCTGGGCAGGGGAGGCCCAGGGGCCCGGCTCCCTCCCAAGGCCCGGACGCAGGCTGGCGGAACCTGACGTCTGCCAAATTGGAGCACTTCTCAGCTCCCTGGTCCCCCGAGGCTCTGGCTGCATCTCAGAGGCCAGGACACCTTGAGATTCAAGGATCTCTCTCTCTCTCTCTCTCTCTCTCTCTCTCTCTCTCTCTCTCTCCCTCTCCCTCTCCCTCTCCCTCTCCCTCTCTCTCTTTCTCTCCCCCCCCCTCTCGGACAGCAATGCCCCCTCTGGAGTCTCAAGCACCAGGTCTGCTGAGGGTCTCAGGGTGTCTTTCTCTCCCATGGGCCCCCTGCCAATCAATGCCCAAACCGGGCACGTGCCCTGACGGTGAATCGAACCGTGACCTCCTGCTTCACAGGTCAACGCTCGGCCACTGAGCCACGCTGGCCGGGCTCCGGCTTCGTTTTAAGGGGGATCAGAAGAAGCAGAGGGGATGGCCCAGGTGAGAGCATGTGGCCGGGACAGAGGCTCCTTCCCGCCTCCGAGAGCCAGCCGCTCTGCAGGGCTGGGGCAAGCTGGTCTGGCCTGCCCCGAGCTCTCTCCGCACCACCTGCCGAGGGCTGGGTCTCTCTCGGGCACAGATGGCCTGGCTCAGGGCAACCAGGACACGGCCGAGCCCATCCGGGCACAGCTCAGGGCGAGGAGCCACCCGTCTGCCATCTGCCGAGCAGGTGACAGCCGCCGGCAGGTACGTCAGGGCGAGGAGCAGGGAGCTCGGGGCCCGGAGAGCAGCTGTGGGCAGGACCTGGCCCTGCGGCCGCCGGACCCCCTGGGCTCCGGACAGGAGGCGCCTGCAGGCCCCGCTGTGCGGCCGGTGGGTCCTTAAATGAAAACAAATGGACATCTCCTCCCCCGCCCTCTCTGCCTGCCTGTTTCCATCAAAGCTCAGGCTGGCTCGCCCTCACCGGAGTGGCTCAGTGGCTAGAGCATCCACCTACAGACAGAAGGGTCCCGGGTTCGGTTCCGTCAAGGGCTCCATCCCCAGCAGGGGCCGTGCAGGAGGCAGCTGATCGGTGATGTTCCTTCTCTCGTCGATGTTGCTCTCTCCCTCTCCCTCTCCCTTCCTCTCTAAATTCAATAGAAATACGTATTTCTTTTTTTTATTATTATATTTTATTGATTTTTTTTTACAGAAAGGAAGAGAGAGGGATAGAGAGTTGGAAACATTGATGAGAGAGAATCATCGACCAGCTGCCTCTTGCACACCCCCTACTGGGGATGTACCCACAACCAAGGCACATGCCCTTGACCAGAATCAAACCCGGGACCTTTCAGTCTGCAGGCCGACGCTCTATCCACTGAGCCAAACCGGTTTTGGCGAAATACGTATTTCTTTAAATGAGTGCATGACGGAGGGAGGGAAGTGTCATTGGTTATACGTGTCTGTAGCCCTCGAGGGAGAAAGAATCATAGATTCGCTGCCTCCTGCACGCCCCCTACTGGGGATCGAGCCTGAAACCCAGGCCTGTGCCCAGACCGGGAATCAAACTGTGACCTCCTGGTTCATAGGTCAACGCTCAACCACCGAACCGCGCCGCCCGGCCACTCATTCATCCATTCATTCATTCATTCATTCATTCAATGCTACCACCTGCCTGCT